GGAAGAAAGAAATAAACCGATGGTAAATCTAGTTTAGCCGCGGCTTTCGTCGGAACGCGTAACAATGACTCGGCGTAACTTTAGTGAATGCAAAGTCACGTGTCTACATTTGCATCGAGTAAGTAAATATAATTTCGCCGGCTGGCGTCAAGACTCGCGCAATTACTCCATTATCGGGGGCGGGAGGCAAATGGTCATGACTGCAGAAATCCATTGCTCCTCGGGTCTTGAAGAGGAGCGCAATTCATGCGCACTCGCGTCGCATTTGTATTACGTCTTTTGACCGGAAGTTCCGATCATTCGGGTCGACCGCATCTAAAAGATGAAATGGTTTTCCCTAACAGCGAGTAATTATAAATTATTTAGCGAACATTCGGCAAAGTGCCTTGGAACTACTATAATCTACTTGCGTTAAATTGAGCTGAGCATGCAACTTGTGGCTATTTTAATAATATCGCTCCACTCTATAGAATAGCTTCTGCTACTCAAATATATGCATAATTCGATATATCTATATCGTTAACCACTTTGATTATGACGAACAATATTTACTCAATCTTTTATACATACCCCGTATCGTAAATCAATTGCGCTAGGATCATCATATTGAATCGAATGAATTAAATGCGTTTATTGTGCGCGTTTTTTACAGAAAAAATTACGTGTAAAAAGTAAAGTTGATATTTAATATTAATTGTAAAGAAATTTTAAAGATGCAATTAATAAATTGCTTATGAATTAGGATAATTTATGTGTAATTATCTGTTTTTATAAAGTATAATGCCTAAGGCTATTTTATGTTATTCATAAACACGAACAGATTGTACTTACCAAATCTAAGCAACTTTTGCAAAAATTTCTAAATTACTATTGTGTGATTATGAAACTTCCAGTAATTATTGTCCAATAGAACGTATGAGAAGAATTGCTTAATACATTTGCAATAAACAAATAAATATATAAAATATATGCAGAGCCGTAGATGAATAAATGTGTTAGAATATCGCTACACAAATCATTAAGCTATTAAACAAGAAAAGCTCCACACCTTGATCCGTAAGAGTCGCATTCAGAAACAACATTATAAATAATGTAAGTAACACTTGGTCTGATAAAGTAAGAAAAATACAGAGCACGCAATAGAATTTTTAAATTATAATAAATATATTATAGATTATATGCTCGATAAAGGAGCTTAAATCAATAAAAGCCGAAAATCCACAGCTCTTGACTATCGTAAATATCCGTATAATAACGATGCGTGAATAAAGTGAAAAACAAAGTGAAAAAGGTAAAAATGAGCAAAAAAAAAAAAGCGGAGAAAAATGGGGGAAAGCAACGCGAATATCGTTAGAAGCTCATAGGACTCCTCGGTATCGTCATCCATTTAATAATTATTAAAGTAAATCGTCGTGGTCCTTTAAGCGTTTGGCGGACTTGAGCGTCGCGCGCATATCTGTCGCTTGCACTAGTGCACTAGTTGTTTTAACGTAATGAGATTAAAATATGAGTAAATCCAACATATAAACGGAATTCCTGGATATAGCAGTGGGATATGGGACGCACTTACGTGTAATGCGCTATTAATGCTGGGCCGTATATGCACAGAAATTGCAGTCGAGGCTATTCGACTTTACCACTTGCAGAATTTCCGACGTCCTCTTCTTCGTTTTTCCTCCGTGTTTCTCAAGCTGCGTTGCCCGAACGATATTTGCCTTTTATGTTTTGTTTTAATGAAAACCGTTGTTAATGTGCGTTAAGAGAAAGAATGAGCTTGTATGGTGATTTCTTATTAATGAAACATGGATGGCGAATGTGCTGTTTTAATAAATAAATTTGATAATCAGACCGATAAATTCAAGGTAGATACTCATAAACGTCCTTATTTAAATGATAATTTAAATGTTTAAAATGTTTTAAAACGTTTAAAATGAGTTTTTAGATTTACTTTGATGATTACATAATTGCGATTATAAAATAGAAGATAGCAGATTTTCTTAGATAGAATTCTCAGACCTTATTACTGGCCTTATTACTTTATACTAGATTACTAAGCTGAGCTAAAATTAAAGTAAAAAAAAAAGAAAGAAACAAAAAAAAAAAAACAGAAAATGAATATTTCGAAAGATAAATGAGAACTTTATTAATGAGTTTTAAATGTGATTATAAGTTTATTATGGACTCTTTAATTTTCAATGTTCAGAGCCAATATTCTATTCATAATTTAATCATTTACTAACTGTCAGTCTGGGAAAAACCAATATATTTATTTGCTTAATTATAATAAATTGAAATTCGCTATTGAATATTTCATTATCGACTACATTTGCCTAGGTTTTGTCGGGTAACGAAAATGCTTGTTAGTAGAATTTCATATGAAAATCACGAGTATGTAAGCTCAGCGTACACCCAGTAATTATAAGCCTCCTAGGAAATTCTCACATCGTCTTCCGAATTTCCCATCAAGGCCAGGCAGAAGATGCAATAAATACTTTGATCCCTCTGCATTCTCATGGACTCGTGCATCGGAATGCTGTTAAGATGCGACCGTAAAGTGCGATAGATAAATTTATCCGCTCGCACACTTACACTCTATTGTTTAAAGGCGAGGCGGGAAAAATAAAGAACGTAGCTGCACTACTCTTACCCCCCTCCCCCGTAATTTCCTTGGCAACGACCAAAGTAATTGGCATCTTATACAAAGTATCGAAAGAAGATGTCACGATAGAGGTGGGGAGATATGGATAGAAGAGCGTGGATCAACGAATCGCGGAATTGATTTATTGAAGCGAGGGATTAACGGTGAGAAATTCGTCATTGCACCGCGATGTTCTCTTTGCTTGATTGTCTTTATGTAGTAGTTACTCTTTGCTCAACTTTCCAAATATTTTCCTTTTTTCGTATATTTTATTACGTATTACGATCGTGCGGGTTATCTGGATCTATGCTTTGTTTATTATGACAAAGCTATTTATGCGCACGCGCACACGCACGCACGCTACACACACGCGCGAGCATAAATATAAATAGCTAAGTCATGGTGAGGTTTATCAGAAGCCTCTTAACGAATTCCTTGAATAAATTGAAATTCGTAAAATAATCCCAAATGTTCAGCAAGAGTATTTGGTTCCCATGGCTGTGCCTTTACATAATTGTGTTGTCAGAAAGCAAAAAGGTAACTCTTAAAAAATTCATGTTTCCGCTCATAGCCTATTATTGTTATTGCCTATCAGCTTTAAAACGAGAAATTACAGTTATAATAAATAATTATTTTTTCGACGTATAACTAATTCGAGTTTTTTATTTAACCGAATCAAATGGCAATGACTTATTTGCTTCTAGATGTGAATGAATGACAAATTATATTAAGTTTAGAATTGCTTCAAATATCTATTGACATTTATTGACAATTATATACGATACGCTTGGCCAATATCAAATATACTGATAACTGACAGAGTATTTTTCTATTTTCTAAAAATAATATATATTGCTTTGTAACTCGGATACATAATAGGATCACGTACTTTCGATAAATCATACAAATCAAGCAAGAAATAATATAAAACAGATTAAATTTTATTGCCTGATATTAAACTTCAATATTTGAAACAAAAATGACTTTCTCTCTCTCTCTCTCTCTCTCTCTCTCTTTCTCTGCGTGCGTGTGTGCGTGTGCGTGTGTAAAATTATATAAAAATCAAATTAAATAGAGTCTGTACTTTCAAAGAAAAAATACAGAGAAGAATTTAAAAAGCTTAATTTAATTTTAATTAATGGCCGCAAGAGTAATTACAACTAGCTGTATTCATGAAAATTAAACTTTTGAGATTATTACGACATATTTGATCAAAATCATAATGTAAAACTATTAGTATTGTTGTCGTTGTCGTTGTTGTTGTTGTTGTTGTTATTGTTGCTATTCTTAATAATTACCGCTGAAATTAAAACAATGCTTATAATTTCATAAATAAATTAAATAATAATGAACTGAATTTCAATTAAAAATATACTTTTTATTGAGCAATTAAATTATATGAGTATAAACATAATGTAGCTTACAATTATTAATAGATATCTAATAATATAAAGTAATAAAGGGAATATATTTATTATTTATTAAAGGAATGATGTGGAACTTTGGTTAGAGGTGGAATATATTCGAAACATACAATTTCCCCTAAAATATTTTAATTCATTATTGCTTATCTTCTAGAAAATATGCTCTTTGATATGTGGACTCAATTTATAAAATAAATTACGTACAAATGGACTTACGATAATTTACCTTCGAGATAAATTTAGAAACCATTTGCCCAATTTCGCATGTTTTGCACTTAATATTTTCAAATCTCTGTATTTTTACTACAATATAGTTATTTAGTAAATCATTTAATTCAGCGCTACTGATTTCGTTTGACCACAGTACTCTCCTTTCATCCTTATTTCTTATTTTTTAGTTTTTTTAAACATACGTGTGCGCGCTAAATAATTATATGCAGGTGTTTAACTAAAGTCATCTTAACCGATCTCAGTAATATTATTTACCAGCTTCGTTCAATTACACTACCTCTAGCAATTACAATAATTCCACCTAATCAAATCTTAAAATTCTATACAATGTTTATATAAATGGAATATAAAAAATAACATTACAATGGGTCACGTACGCGTACTAGCTCCAACCTCTGTGCCCTTTAAATTTTAGCGATAGGCCGAAACCATGAAAAACCATTGAGCATTTTATCGACTAATATACTTTGATTATTTGAAGCCTATCATTTTAATTTAAAAACATCCACTTTGATCAAATACAGTTTCCACTTGCTAATCATTGAATTGTCTTACTATTTTTTTGTTTTTGTTTTTATTTTTTTTTTGTATTTCAAGTGTGAAATAAAGTTCAGAGCTCCACCGAGAGTACGATTAAAGAAAGATATTTAAAAACAAAAAAAAAGAAAATTATTACTCGCCATTATAAAGAAATTGTAGTGCAGATGTTGTAGTACAGAGATTCCCATATAAAAAATATTAGACAAATTGTTAAATTTTATAGATCTGCATGCAGCTACAAATCACTTAGAAACTAATCTTTAAGATATCCCATATATTTTCATAAATTCTTTCGTAAAATCTACAAAGTTTCCTACTGTCTACTTAGCCAATTGTAATGCACAAAAAAAAGTAATTTTAATTTGAAAATTTGATTCCAGTGAAACGTTCTCTTTTTTCTTTGTTTTATTCCAAAAGGATCATTTATAAGAATTACAGCTTTGCAGCAAATTGATTCATTGTCAAATGGAGAATGGCAAGACACTTTTATAAAGATTATGTCCTGCGGTAACATTATAATTCCATGACTTTTCGTTTTAAAGCCGATAATTAAACGACGTGTCAGCATATTTACAAAAATACGCTGATAAATGTCTTGCTAAACGTCGCTAAATGCTAAATTTCAGAGCATAATCTTCAATAAAATCTATAGAGCTTTCGCGTTAGAGTTCACAAGAAATGTTTGCCCAAACTTGCGAATCTTACTCAAAAATCAATGATCCAAGCGCAAGTCATCATAACGTATGCATGTAGTCTAATATAATAAGCAAGAGCCAAGTGTTAATGAGATAGATAAAATATAGCACTTAATATACCCAAAGCTGTTTTTCACGAGGGGAGGACCAATCGGCCAAATAATCCAATACGACAATGCAACAAATAAAATCACTCTCTAGCCGGGTCAGTCGGGCCAGGCCACGTCAGTTCCTGTAAATCGAGAAAGCCAATCGAACGAATCGTCGTCAGCCAAGGGCGCAGGATAATCGCTCAGACGAAGATAAAGTGAGGCCGGGGCTGGCAGAGAGCCACGTCGCAATCCGCTACCGTCCTTTTCGTGCGCAGCCACTTGCCATGGCAGTGGGGCGAGCTCAGCATACTCCACCTGGTGATCATGGCCTCGGTGCCGCCGTCGCCCTCGCACCGCCAGTCCAGGACGCGCCTCAGAGCCTGCATCTGACAGCGGACGCAGACTCTCGAGCCTGAAACGAAAGCAGATTCAAACTCCAGGGGTATGATTGGGCTCGGCTGAGCTTGTGGGAAGCTAATATGCTTCCCTCGGCATTTCATATATTAAGGGCTTAATAATTCAAAAGCATTAGTGCCGGTAATGACGCACTCGAGCTCTTGAATAATTTGACAGCTACGCTTTAATTATAAAAATTGAACCCGAGAATGGCGATTAGAAGACGATGTGTACGTTGTATGGGATTGAATTTAGATTTTCGATTATGATGCTCGACACCGGCCCCGCCGAATTCCCAAATTCGATTAGATTAAAGATTCATCCCGGTAATTTCGCAAAGCAAACATTCGGTATCTATTCGCTCCTCTCAGCAGATTATGTTAGTTGGACGATGAATATTTTTCGTACAGCGTGCATGAGCTATAAACAAATGATAAATACTCGACGCGCGGGTGTGTGCAATTGAAAGCAATGCAAGGCTATGCGATTAATTGAAAATGTATAGAATTCTCTTGTATTGAGCAAGGATTCCAATTAGAATTTCTCCAAACGAACACGCATGTACAATTTTTGTTGTATTCGTGTGTATCGATAAACAATCTGAGAACGCTTCTCACTCTGTACAACCAATGTATGTGTAAGACTTGTATTCGGGTTGAGTTTACCGCAATTGTCCGCCGATTTCACCGTACGGAGCACTGGCACTGGGGAATCGTAATTTTATTTGCTTGATGGGGCTTTGATCTCTTTTCGCGGCCGCGAGGTGCCTTAATTCGATTCGGCAATTAATTCAGCACTTTTAACACTTTGTAATATCAAAATTATAATCGTTTGCGCTTGAATCGTTTGCTATTGTTGTTCGAATGCATTTTTAGCCGAATACGTAATTGAATTAATAGGAAGCACACGGCATATGAAGTGTCGCATTGTCGTATAAATACTGCCAAGTTAATTGCTATTGGTAATATGAAAACTATCGGTACTATTTTAAACGGGTTTTCATTTAATTTCATTGCATTATTTAATATTTGGATAGTTTTAAGTTACGAGCGTGCGTGGTGTCGGTCCAATAGAATAAATGTTCAACCAATAGAAGCTCGCGGGGACATTAGGGCTCTATTCGTCAATTATAATTCTATTCGTAGTCGTTAGTTTATAATTAAGTTTTAAAATACAAAGATGCTCAGTGTAAAATAAAATGATGAAAGATGTGGATGAGGATATGAACGATCGTTGGTATTATTAATGAGTCACGTCCTTGCGTTCAACCTCTCGAATATTTAGCTCTCAGGGCGTACAATGGCCTTGGAAATGACGATAACGAGAATCTAAGGACTTATCAATTTTGTTTATAAATTTTTTGAAAATGCCTCGCACGACAGCGACGCCTCCCTGGCCCTTTCAAAACCGAATGAAACTTGTTTCATTGGTCGACGAGAGAGTTTAATCAATTTGCGTTAAAGGCTGCGATAACGAATGCGGCATTTCCGCAACAAAGAGGTAAAATAACGTCTTGTCAAATGCCTGCGCGTCAACGCCCTAAGGTCACTCTAAATGCCCTTTTTACAGCGGGGCATAATCGCGTTGGAAAATCACTTGCAGAATCGACAAGATGGGAATGAATCTCATGGCGTACGAGGAGGAAAATTTCCCATTGTCTTCATTTATGTATCGATGCGATTGATCGATCCGTTGGTTGATTAGGGCGGGTGATGTTGATGGTGGGGCGAGAAGAGGAATAGAGAGAAAATCGAGGGGATAGTCGAATGTTGAACGCGGAGAAAAGGGAGGGAATGAGGAGGAAGAAGGAATTGAAGTTTTACTTCAAGGGCGGATGTGCGGAGGAGAAGCGACCATTTGGATCTTCAGTTCTTCGGCTGAGCTACCGCCAGCAGCCAATGACAATGCATTTGTAATCGTTCGCTCGCATAGTCGAGATTGTGCATGCGAAATTATCGACCCGAAGGGAATAGAACTTACCCTCCGAGAGCTCCGAGAGGCTCGACTCCTTGTAGCAGGCTTTCGAGGCCTTAGTCACCGTGAACGTCACGCAATACCTGAAAAGAAAAGAACGAAATTGGTATTTTATTGTTTTCGATCGTTAAGAGGTTTTGGTATGCATAAATTCAATGTCAGTGGAGAAGATTCGCGAAAAATTAGTTCACACAAGTACGGCAAGTTTCAATACAGCCAGTTTCTTGTTATTAAGGCCGATTTTAAAAATATCGAATTATACATATTAAACGTCCATATTGAATTCCTATCAATTTCGGTATTTTTTATGGATTTTGTAATCAAGTTTATTTTGTTTGTTTCCTTAATATAATGAGCAGCTTCATTTTATAGCTTCATCGTTCTCGGGATTATAAGAAGATGTCTTGGAAATTATTTAAATACGGGCAAATAATGTTGAGCTCTAATTCCAAATTGCTACAGCCAGCTATTTGAGCCTAAATCAGAAATTGTGAATTTAATCGGATTCTGAAAGCCTCATGTAACTCATTTTACGGTAGTAGTGATTCGTTTAATTCTAAACAATGATAATCGAAATATCAATGCTTAAATATATAATAAGTGTGCGCATCGTAGATATACAATTAGAGTTAAGCTTAATTCTCCAATGATAATTATCGATTATCGATAAAGCGTCTTGTATGACAACTTCTATACGAATTATAACATAATGGATTCGAACGTTTTTGACAAGTTTCTCATAACTTACTACTACATCACTAGTTTACCGTACTCACTACTTGTATCATTAGTTTCACTACTTAGGTATTTAATAATTTTATGAAGTACTTATACAAAAATTCAACTCATGCTGACATGACAAGTACATTAAATAATCAATTGCTTTATAATTAAACAAATACTTGTTCTAGTTTAAACTATAGCTTTTAGTAATTCACAACGAAACATTGCATACCTATTACTTTAAAATTTTAAAAAATCATTTGTCTTACAAAAGACGAAGTTATACAAAATCTGCAATGTGAAACAAATTGTAATTTACAGATAATCGATTAAATTTGAATTAATAAGAAAATTTCAATCGATAATATTATTATTATTATTATACAACGATAAATTTCATTGAAATATCAATCTATGACATTAATCGTTTTTTTAATGTATATATGTGTGTGTGCGTGCTTGTGTGTTCGTGTGCGCGATTGCGCGTATATATGCATCTATGACAAGGACTAAAACTCTCGTACTTATTTGCCAATACTCGTCCGTAGCGAGTCCTATGAAACGAATTTAAGTAGTCGCGTCACATGGGTAAATTTGTTTACAATCAGCTGTGTTAGTTCAGCGTTTGTACGTATATCTCTGTCTCACGAGTAATGTCGAGGAGTCGGAAGATGTATGGCAAAAGAGGTCAATCGAATGCGAAAGAAGCAGCTCGGAAAAAGATGAGGAGAGATGAGCCTACAGACGCACACAGCCCAAGTCCTGCATAAACTCCCTCGCTTTCTTATTTCTCCCCTCGTATTCTCGAGAACTTTAGCCAGCGTGTAATCATCGGGCGGCACTCGCAATTGCGCAGCTGCGATTTCAATCTCGCGGGCAACGAAAGCTTCCCGGCCAACTACAAACATCGACCATCCTCCCCGTATACCAGCACCTTCGGTCAACCCTTGTTCCTCGATTTCTTCAACAATTCATGGCCCGCCCTTAATTTCCGCCCGCTCGATATCACTTTCCTTCGGAGATACATCATGTACTCTTTCTCTTTCTCTCTCTGTTTGTATGTTTACTTATACGAAACTGCTATTGGCTATTGGGATTCTTCTGAATCGCGATATCGCTTTCTCGGCGGAAGTTTCTTTGTTCACACTCTACGTATCTCACTCGAGTTTCCTCCTTTATATCACATCGAGACGATTTATAGTTTTGTGTTATGGATTTTATTCTAGAGTGTGATGGAGATGTAATAGAGATTGAAGGAACAATTAGATGTTACATTCCCGTTTCAAATACTAAATTAAAAAAGTGCTCTCTTGATTATATTGTATATAGTGCTTTTACCGTTACGTATCTATTTTGTTTGGCTTAAGGCGTAATATACCAAACCTATTATGTATGCAAATTTATATTGAACTACGGATTGGTTCTGGATAAGACGAGCACTTACCCATATCATCCTTCACGTACGTGTTTCACGTACTAAAAACACCATAATCCCATTAAAATAGGCATTATGACCAATTGAATATATATAGTTTGACAACTAGAAGCGTCGTCATTACAAATAATTTAATATAAAAACTGAACGTAAAATCTCATGTATGGAGAATTTATTAGTTCTTTGTTAGTACTTTCCAAATATCTCCATTTTCGTGTATTATAAACAATAAACATATTTTGTAAAAGAATGATACATTTATTGCTTACACTCGTAGCTTGGATGGTTGACATTTCGCGAGCGCCGTCCAATAAAGATCATTATAAGCTTAAATTTATCGCCTTTGAATAGTTAGTGTAATAAAGATCTGCGCTCCATCTTCGCAATATGACAACAGCAAAAAAATAATAGGAATATGAAACTCTCGCTCGTGCAATTGATCGCTATTTGTATAGCGGAAGAGACTTTATAGCCATAAGCGTCAGATTTTACTGGACACATGCGCATGCATGTCCGGTGCGAATCAACAAGTAATATTGCACATGACATTGCATTCGCGTATTGAACTTTAAATTCATTCTATTTTCAACATTATTTTGGATATAAAGACTTTCATTCAATTCTAAATTGCACGGACATCGAATAAATCGTTGGCCTTGTGTTTTTCAAGTTGTATCCTCATTGTAGTGGAATGTAGCTTTCAGCCGATTGTTTACGTTCTTTAAATTATATATGAATTGCTTTAATTGCTGCAACATTTTCATGATTTTTTAATTGATAAGTATTAGGAGAGTGGGTAACGTGTGAGCTAATATTGGGAGAAAGAAGTTTCTTAAAATATCAAATGAAATTTCCTCTTTAAAAGGTTATTAAATAGATTTCTTCTTTTTTTTATTTTGTCTTCAAGATTTCATAGTCACCTTATCCAATGCTTTATTTATTTATGCATATGCATCTTAATACAAGCACAGTATAACACATTCGTGTATGAAAATTAGCCTTTAATGACATAATATTGAGAATTTCATACAATTACTGATATGTCACATGTTAATAAGCATAATGAATACCTTGACATTTATCTGACATTCGATCACATAAGTTTTCCACGTAAAACGTATATAATATTTAATGAAAAGTTTACCATTCCAAGCCCAACTGTATTATACTTGCATATACTTGTTCATAATAGAAATCAACAACAATAACATTTAAAGTTTTAATAGTAATATTTGTCTTTTCAAATAGTCCATGTCAGCTGACTGTAATAAAAATCAATAACATTAGATGGGCATTTTAAGGTCGGTTTTAAGCTTAAAAATGTAAAGAACTGAGATGTAAAGAAAATTACTATAGTATAATCTTATGTATTATGATGAATATTTTATCAAAAAAGAAGCGTGTACATAAATGTATAAACGTAATGTCGTCCTGAAGAAGCATAAACGTGAACATCATCAAAATCTGGTACGAAATTACTTTTTTTTTAAATTTCTTCCTCATTCTTAAGCAGACAATATAATAACTAATCGCAAAATTGCCTCAATCCCGTATTATTATCTTTGAAATAAAAGAAACAAAAAATTAAAGACGTTTCTCCGCATTACGAAAGATAAGAGCTATTTGTTTAATCGAAAATATTTATGAAAACTTGTTCAAGTAGAAGGCTATTTCCAACGACTTAAAAAAAAAATATAAGTATCATAATAACTTTTTATTACGCATATCTTCTACTTAAGTTGCAACATACTTTCAAAAGGTGTAGCAAAACTTTCATGAGTCCTATCATCTGCATGACAACTTTACTGAATACATTATGGTATTATCAAAAAATTTTATTCATAAATGTAGGTTCATTTGATTAAATTCCACTGTCTACAACTCAACTTTAAATCACAGCTCCTGCTTTCACAGTCAAAATTTAAAACTAAAAAAATGCATGAGAATAACTTTCAGAATATGATAAAAAAAAAAAATTAACATAATATATGAATTATTTCGTTAAAAATAAGAAGAGAATTATGGATAAAAGAAAAATAAAAGATAAAAAAACTAAAAGAGAGAGAATTACAAGATATTGGCTATTCGCATAGAGTGCATCGAGGTATGCAAATTTCGTCGAATTAATGAAATTATTAATCCAAATATTATGGTGCAGCAATTAGTCATTATAAAATTAATAGATGCTGTTACCGTATTACGCAGTGAACGTTCATCTGCAAAATAAAATATATTTTATTTACATGTATTCAACTGAACGCGGAGGATAGTCGACCACCGAGTCCCTGTATTTTTCCAAAGGACATGCTCCAACGTAAACAAGGAGGTGAAATATGCGCTTCTCCAAATAGCCGTATCAGTTAAAAAAAATATACATATATATCGGAAAAAATAATGCAATAGGTCATCCAAAGTGTCGGAGGAGCAGAAACTCGTCTTGAGATTTACGTGCTTCACGTTGTAGATATAACGGAAGATGAAGGATATAAGCTTACAACATCTCCTTGTGTATTAGCAATGCACGTAGACATATATTTGTAAGCGATATCGAATATTGCACAGTGTGATGGTAAGGATCGTTACAATATATTCTTTTTGGGAATGGAAGAAGGCAATAGGTAGAGAAAGAGAGAGAGAGAGAGAGAGAGAGAGAGAGAGAGAGAGAGGGACAAAGAGGACTTGAGGTATTTCCGGTAAAATTGAAGAAACAAGTTTCTTTTTCATAATATCCACACACGAGACGAATATTTCCTTAGCAATAACAAGATTTATGATTAAAGAATATAAAAGGCCAGCAATGGAATTTCAACGATAGGTGTATAACTTTTACTAAAGAATACACATTTAATTAAAAGATTCTGACAGCTCGCAGAAACAAGACTATTTCACTTGCAACCGTAACTTCATTGTACTTTTGACACAAAT